TGAGTGCTTCTTATTTCCACGGGGACCTTCGAAAAGTACGTTATGACATAATACCTATACTTCGAGTAACGTCAAGTTATGTAACATTGATGTATCTGTGTTTAATTTATTAAGAAGAGTATAGAAAGAGAGATATATATATATATATATATATATAAATTTGTGTGAATCAATATAATAATACAAATTAAACAAAAAACATGTAATATAATAAGAAAGTATATATTTATAATCGAATCACACGTATGAAAAGTTTATTCAAAAGTCTTCCTGTGAAAAAAGTTGAAATTTTCTGCGTTGGTTTAAATATAATACCAAACTAATTATACAGAGAAAAGACAGCATTACACTAATAGCTATTCTTTAGAAGCAAATTATAGTTTTGCAGTTGCCTTAACATTTAGTGTGTCGTCGATATACTTATTGTCATACGATATTATCATCTCTGTTGAGTGCATTCAACGGCCAAGTGTTTTTTTTTCATTTATCTACTGCACACTTCTTGATGAAAAAACCAACATCCACATTTGACTTGGTAGTGTATGTATTATGATATTCTTCTCTTACACAAAATTATTTCATATCTTTAAATTTTATATTTACCACATCATTATTTAATCTGTATTTTATCAATGATCCTCTTGATTTTTTTTTTTCATTGAGAAAATCATTATTGGTATTTAATTATTTTTTGTATCTTACAAATACGTAACAACGTGGGAAAGTACCAAGCTATTAACAAATGCCTATGGTTACTGCTATACTCTAATACGCGAACACCTTCAATTATCTCCTAAAAGAGGAGGGGTTTTATAACATCTTCTGCGATAAATAGCACACGCAGGGTTAAATCCTTGCGTACGATTGGTGGCGAACAGAGAACGAGCGGTGGCAGTGACCCATGACCCGGATCGCGGAAAGTGGGTGCCAGAGGGGCGTGTATGCACACCCGGCGAGGCCGAGGGGTTGGGGTTAGGGTAGGACATCGTCGAGGATCGATTTTCCCTCTCGGTGGGCTTCCTCCGCCCTCGGCGCGCAGGAAGGGTAGCTGGATCGCGTGAAGGGAGAGAGAGTCCCAGCACAGAGAAAGAACGTGCATATACGCGCTCGTATACCTGAACGCGCACGAGAGAAAGAGAGTGTACGCTCTCCGAAAGGGTGATAGAGGGTGGAGAAAGGAAGGGTGAGCGCGGGCGAGCGCGAGGAACAAACACAGGATGCGAAATAACGAGAAAGAGAGGGCGGAAGGGAGGGAGATTCCCTTGGGCGCTCCCGATACTCTCTGCCCTTCTTCAGCATCCGCTTCCGTTCTTCGTCGCGATATGCGGCGCTATCGTCGACGCGCTTCCTGCAGGATCCTGCGGCATCCCCTATACGTGTCTGAGACTCTATACCGAGCAGCCAGGAGCACGGCACTCCTCTCGCTCTGGTGGAGCAGTGCCGAGGAGAAAGAGAGAGAGAGAGAGAGAGAGGGAGGGAGACAGGATCGGCTCAAGCCCGGCCGACCCAGGAACGCAGCTCGATCGAAAGAGGAAAGTTGACACGGTGTCGGAGGGCTCCGACCGCGGACCGCCTCTGAAAACGTTATTGGCCCGTAATTCCGTCTAAACCCTAAACCTAAACGGTTATAAAAGCGAGGCCCACCATGCAGTACCGCGATTCTGTACCTCTCGTGTTCCAATGTCATCACTGTCTCTGCCTCCTCCCCCCCCCCCTTACCCCTCCTCGCTTTTTCCTTTTTCTTTTCTTATGTCGAGAGAATTGCGTTACGCGCTTTCCTCTGTAATGTATTATAATAGACATACGAGAATTTTAGCAACGGCGAGAACGCGTCGAGATACTATCGATAACACGGTACACTCAATCGTAATCCAGACAGGAAATCGATGCAAATGAGATAATACGGGTTTATTATTATCCCGCGTGGTTCTATTTCAGCGAGTCCGAGATACATACATGCATAATGCGATGCAGTTGTACAGCGGTGTGTCTGATATAATTGTAACAATCTGATGGATATCGTACTGCGAGCAATAGTCGTAAGATCGATGCGAATATAATAACATGGTTTATTATTATCCCGCGGTTCTACACCGAGGGACGTATATAATATTATGCGGTCAGTATATAACGCTGTTCCTCGTACAACTAGTGTAACTATTATATGTATATAATGCGATAATATATCGCGAATAACAGCTACAAAAGATCGTCACGTTATAATAATACGATTTATTGTTGCGTAATCTAATACGCTTTATTATATCCCTCAAGAAATAAGTCACTCTTCGCCGCCGAGCGTTGAGTTTTAATTAAATACAAGTTCTCGGTCGAATTATTCTTTTGAATGAAATGATAACAGTCAGCCATAAAAAATAATCGTTAGAGAATCTTTACGCACGATGCGTTTTAAACACGCCCTTTGCTAGCGCAATTACAAATCTATGAAAGCGAACCGTACACGAATCTTATAAACGGGCACGCAGTTGACGTCGAAAGATATCTAAGCTCACGCGCGCGTTAAGATTTCTTTTTTGTTCGCGTTACTTGAACTCGCGAATTGGTGCGAGTGATTAGAAACGTTTCAATGCTGACTAAACTGCGCATGCACACAAATATCGTCATGTGTAATTTAAAATGTATTCAGCATCTTTCGCCCTCGTTCTCATACAAACAATTTTACGTCGAGAGAGTTCGGGGATTATATAATTCAAAGTATATATCGAGCATCTAAGGTAAATGTATCAAAATCGGACATGTACTTTATGTCCGGACACTTAAATGAGATTTATTATTATTATTATTATTATTAATTTTAAATGCTTTTTTCATTACAATATTATAATTTAATTATATTTAAAAATTACTTTAAAAAAAAGTTTGAGATTAATAATATAAACAAATATAAAATTTTGTTCAAATACTCGGACATATCCGATCACATGGGACGTTTATCTTACATGCACATCAAAAAATAACGTAGAAAAAAGTAGCTTCAGTTCGGATTAGGTTTTTAAATTTGTGCCTCTACTCTCACACGTCGGCACATACTTCCTTTTTTTTTACACATATTAGAAAAATTATACTTTTGAAAATATACGAGTGTTTGAAATTTTGAGAAACTCCCCGTACGTACGACCGAAGCAACGTGTGTAATGGAACTGCAAAGGCATATGAAAAGCGACGTAGTGTTATGTACAGACCTCTTTTATGCACTTCGCAAGAAATAGATAAAAACGAGTGTATACATACATGCGCGGAGAAGAATTCCATAACGACAAGATCGTCTTGCATATCTTTCTTGCATTCTTTCTGCCTTTCGATATTTCTACGTCGAATTTCTTTGCTTTTGCGATGTAAGCTGTCTGTCTTTGTCAAATAATGTAATTTAAATTCTGGATTCTCCTTGAATCTCGACAAAATACAAATCGTATATACGATTTATTTTAACAATGAGATTTGAATTACACGCATGTGGTACTTATCACTTCTAGAGTACATCTTTCATACGTATTTCTTACGATGCGCATTATACACTCAACAGCAAAATTAAAGCATCACTTATCCTGCCCCTCAAAAATAGGCAAATTTCAAAAGAGTGTAACTTCGTCAAAAATAATCGTAAAAAAATTTGTAAAAAAGTATTCTAAAGCTTGAAATCTCTAATTTCGAAAATGGCAATTGATATTTTGATTTGATTAATTCTTTATGAAATTGTACGGACACAAATGAAGGTGCGTTAAATCTCAAAAATTTTTACTAACTTTGAGAAATTCCATGACGTGAATTAAAAATCATATAAAAATTTACAGCATTTGAAAGCGTGAATCTTTACCTTTAATTCATTTTTTTTGTTGAGCTCTGTACGATTTTTTTCACCGAGTTATTCAACATTGTAGCAAAAATCCTTTTTGCTTTAATGTTGATTAACTTGATGAACAGAGCTCAACAAAAAAGGAAATTAAAGATAAAAGTTCACGTTTTCGAATACTGTAAACCAAATTTTTATGCGATTTTTAATTCACGCCATGGAACTTCTCAAAGTTAGTAAAAATTTTTGACGCACTTTCGTTTGTATCAGCATAACTTCGTAAAAAATTAATCAAATCGAAATATCAATTACTATTTTCAAAGTAGAGATTTCAAGCTTTAGAATGCTTTTTTACAAATTTTTTTACGATCATTTTTGACGAAGTTAAACTTTTAAAATTTGCCTATTTTTTGGGGGGGGGGGGCAGAATAAGTAATGCTATAATTTTACTGTTGAGTGCACATTAAAACATTTTTTACGTCTTGCGAATTGTTCACGTTCGAAAACCCAAGATTTCAATGACAAAAATTTGATTCACATCACACACGAAAGAGACATGTTTTCGACCACATACGGACGCGTGCATGGAGTGGCTCTCACGATAACGATGCGGTTGATTGACAATGATTGTTATCGCGAATGCCCCGGCATCGATCAAAATTAATAGTTCAACTTGATTTTGACGAATTTATGTTATCGTAGGTATGGATATATTGTTTCTTTTTTTTTTACATATAACTTGCGGCACAAATTGACAAATTAGGAGATTTATAATAGTGTCAGGAAATAATGTAATAATTTACGAGAATCTCTCTTTTCTCTTAATATAAATCATAAATTGAAACACCGCGTATATTTCACGAAGAGTCAAGTTATATTTCTGCAAAGTAGCAATAAAAATTTGCAATTGTTCCTTCTCGAATTGGTAACGTACTTCATTTCAAACGTGCGTTGAATGCGCATCTTTTCGTTTTTTCATTCGGCACGCGCAACGCACAGAATATTCATAGAAATACTATGGCGGATGCCATAGCACATGTAATTATTGAGCATGTTGTCGAATAAATATTAAAAAAAAAACACGCGCGTACTCTGCAAATATTTGCAACGAATCTTCTGAAAAATTACAAATTATCTAATTTGACACTCGCAGGTAAATCTCACTAATTCCGCTTTCATTCTGTTTCAGTTTTCTAGATAAAGTAGCCATCGTAAAACAGCCAGATTACACGCCCACGGAACAGGTAATTATCTGTTTCTCTTTTATTTTAATCCTTCAATAATGATGATTATGAGCGTAATTTTGAGACTTTCGATATTGAAAAAAATTTTTTTATCCCGCGTATATTACGTCTTTAAAAAATAAAATTACTCCGATCTTATTGTTAGATCCTCGCTTGGCAATCTTGGCACTCACAAAGCCATCCCGCATCTCTTTATTCATATATGTACAATACTTGTGTGCGTAACCATCAACATAACGAGTATATGCTTTCGTTTTGTTCCAGGACATCCTCAGGTGTCGAGTCCTCACGTCTGGCATTTTTGAGACGCGGTTTCAGGTCGACAAAGTAAACTTTCAGTAAGTCCCATAATGCGCGACATGCTGTTACCCGCGCGCGTTTTACTTCAATGTCGTGTGGCTATATATAGCCGATATATTACAGTCACATCGGCCGACGGTAAATATAAACGCAAAGCGACGGCGACGGCGACGGCGATAGCGGTGGTGGCGGTGGCGGTGGCGCGCATCTTAGCCTAGCATCTCTATGTATTACGCCCGCTGTTAGCAAGACTTACACTGTTATAACGTGAAAGCTGAAATCCGTTAACCGCGTCAACGCCTCCGCAACTGTAACATTTTCCCTTTTTGCGTTCACTCGCAGGTCACGTACGACGCCCCGCATTATTTTCTACAGACCCACCACACCCCTTTGTTGTCGCCTCTCTCGCTATGCTCGTGTAGCCGTTTTGCTTCTAGCAAATATAAATATACTCGAGAAATTCGTGCATTTGGCAATTTTAAACTTTAAGCGCTCTTTGAGAAGATCCGTAAGTTTAGGCCCATAATCTTGCTCTAAGAGGCCGTAAGCCATAAAACCGTAAGAAATTGGCCAATCATAATCAAATATGTTAAAAATAATCGACTGTGATTGATCAATTTCTTGCGGCAAGGTTGTGGACCTAAACTAATTGTGCAAATACTAAAACGACTGGATTTAAGGTCTATTTTCATCTAACATGTAAGAAATCAAAGTACTTGGGAATATAATTTACATAGCTTTTTGCAATATTAATCTTAAATGGATGAGGACATGAACTCTTATTTTCGTTAGACGCGGTTCGCAACGCCGATATTTTGATTGTGAGCATTTTCTCGATTTTACAGTATGTTCGACGTCGGCGGCCAACGTGACGAAAGAAGAAAATGGATACAGTGTTTCAACGATGTTACGGCGATTATATTTGTCACGGCGTGTAGTAGTTACAACATGGTACTCAGGGAAGACCCTACAAAATTGAGACTTAGGGAAAGTCTCGATCTCTTTAAAAGTATCTGGAACAATCGGTACGCATCTCCATTTTACATCGGGTAAAAATCCATGATATCGATATTCCTTTTGATTCCGACGGATGTTATCTTTTTTCCCCCTAGGTGGCTCCGCACAATCTCGGTGATCCTGTTCCTAAACAAGCAAGATCTATTAGCAGAAAAGGTCAAAGCAGGCAAGCACAAATTGGAAGATTACTTTCCGGAATTCTCGCGCTACCAAACACCAGTTGAGCCCGGAATAACGGATTCCGCGGAAATACCTGACGTCATAAGGGCCAAGTACTTTATAAGGGACGAGTTTCTCGTAAGTATATAATGCGCACGTAATCCACGTAATACGCGCGTTGGATTAATGATCGCTACCGAACATATACTCTGACGTTGTTGCTTGTTTGTCTAGCGCATAAGTACAGCGAGCGGTGACGGCAAGCACTATTGTTATCCACACTTCACGTGCGCTGTCGACACGGAGAACATCAAGAGAGTGTTCAACGATTGCCGGGACATTATCCAGCGGATGCATCTGCGCCAGTACGAGCTCTTGTGACTTCGTTCCTGCCGACGTCTTCTGTCATTATTCGTTAGCCTGACAGTCACGCTCGTGTTGCACCTTGAGTCGCTGCTGCAGCCACTGCGAACTGAATGAGCGAAAGCGAGCTGTGCCATGAACCATGGCCTCGCGAGGAGGACTCGTTCGAGTTCCATACACCTGGGTATACTCAGGTAACGCGTAGGGCTTCCTCGCCAGTCCAAAACCGAAAAAAAAAACGTATATTATCCGAAGGACGATCGCGCGTTCATCGAGTGCGCGCCAGCGGACCTTGAAAGTGATTCTACTCCTCGTCGATGAGAGTCGGTATACAGCGATACACATTACACACCGCTGCGAACAACTCTTCGCTGCGTGAGATCTGTCTGAAGCGAGTTCCTTCTCACGCGGAATAAATTTCTCGCCAAACCGTGAGCAAGGCACGACGCGAGATGTCCACGAGAGGTCGACATGTCGACCCCACACCGTGTCCTAGTACCGTGAGTCGTAGTTGAGCGAAAACGAACGAGCGGCCCCTTTACACTCACACACACGCACACACACATACAAATATACATACACACACACGCAAACGCACACAAACGGGCGTATTTATTTTCGATCACTCGACTTTCTTTTCAGTTAGAGAGAAAGAGAGTGCTGAACACTCGTCGTCGTATCCGGATGATGGCGGGAACGAAACTCTCATGCGCCGTTCGAATCCCTATTAACTTGGACCTTCCACTGTCGTAAATTGAGTTGGGACATGGTAAAAGGTTGAGTGCTATTTTGTGCTAATTGGTTTGCACTAGAGCAAATTTTGTTGCTCCAACTATTTAGCAGAAAAAAATAAAATGAAGGGGTTAATGGTAAACAAGATCCCCCTTCCATAATCAAAAATTATATAGAGAAGTGCGATACCAAAAAAAAACAAGTACACCCTTCGTTGCTTTTTTATTGCGTATTATCTGTTCTGATCTTGGGAAGACCTTTACATTCTTTTTAAAGATTCTTCCGTGAATGATATCATCTTTGATTTGGTAAAAAATTTAAACATTTTTAAACCTTTCATTCATTAAATAATATCTGTACTTCTTAGATAATGCCGTAAACTTATTTTGGCACTTTGTATGGTAATCCTCTTGCAGGTCAGAACTTGGCGATATGGTATTTGCATGTGCCAAATAGGAGCTGCCGGAACAACGCACCAACTTGTGGAACAATCATATAGAACATTTTTTTGCATTTATAGTTATTTGTTATGTAAATGGGTTAGTTTCTTCATCAATATCTTAAGCTGTTTAAGAACCCTTCTCTGTCTATAGGACGTAAAATTAAGTTTTTTTTTTTGTTAAAATGGGTCGCGCTCGGGAGACTCTCACGCTTGACACTGACTGCTGTAATTTCTACACCAAAATGTCGCTAATGGCGGGCTTTGCACTAACACCAAACGGGCAGGCCGATGGCAGAACGCAAGTGTTCCTCGTCCCGAGGCATGCGACTTTACACAATTTACGAAATTGTAGAGCAACCTCACTCGTTCTCTTCCGTGCGAACCGTCGAGAAGACGTCTGTCCCGACCCAGTTACGGCGAGAGTTTTCGGCATTTCGACGTACACGGAAACCATCGATAAAATTTTGCGTGTGTTCTCCACTTTTCAATAAATTTTATGTTAGTCAAGTCTTTATAAATTGGTTTAATAGTTTTTGGACTTCTGGATGCAAAGTAGATTGATGTACATGACTATTGAGCTTATTTTCTGCTTTAGCCAGTCGCACCAAGAATTAGGGTCTTCCGGATAAAAATGATGTTGTTTTTGATCCATAGAACATTTGTGGTATCTACGTGATTTAAATTATTTTTCATCACGCGTGCACGTAATGTGCCCTATACCGCAACGCTTTTGCGTGCGGGAAGTAGCCAATAGCTCAAGTCGTTGAGGTATTTCTCTAACCCCACGCAAAAGCGTTACATTAAAAAAAATAGCGCAACGCAGTGATAGCGCTCGTACAAATATCATCACGGAGAAACGTGCCGACCCACAGTGGTTTGAAATCGCAAAAACATGGTATAAACTCCAAAATGTAATTTTTTAAACAAATTATTTTATAATAAGTTAAAATCAGTTTAAAAAAAGACCCAAACAAGTTTTAATTGTTTTATTAAATGATATAAAATATAATTATTAATAAAATTACAATTTTGAATAACAAATAAATAATTATTTAAAATATCCTATTTGAAAAAAAATGAGTACACATTCAAATTTCTTTATAGATACATATTCTAGTTTTTTAACATATGATAATATTGTCTAATAATAATTATTAGATAATATTATATTATTATAATTATTATACGTAATATTAGTTTTCGTCTGAAGAAGTTTCCTCTCATAAAATATTTATTGTTTATGCTTGGCCTCACCTCGTTTGATAAACGAATAATGCACGGTGCTCTTACTTGACCATCATACAGACACCATAATCTTCTTTTTTACGAAGCTCCGTACGATTTTTTTTCGAGTTATTTAACGTTGAAGCAATTGGGTCATTTTTGCTTCAACGTTGAATAACTTGGCGAAAAAAAATCGTATGGAGCTTCGTAAAAAGCAAATTAAAAGATAAAGTTCCACTCTTTCAAGTGATGTAAATCGCATTTACGTACAGTTTTTAGTTTGCCCCGTGGAACTCCACAAATTTCGTCAAAAATTTTGAAATCTGATTTATCTTCATTTGGAGTTTACGGTCGCAAACGGGGCCCTCCTGCTCAGAGGGGGGGGGGGGGGGATGGGCAACCAACTAAAAGAGGAACCCCCCAAGCTGTGTAAGCTACCGTGTCAGGAACTGTATGGCGCAGGGGGAGCTGCGTCGTTAACGGTGCCTCCTGGATAACGGGCGAACTCCAGGAGTACATAGCCAAGTCGCGGTTCTGCCCGGGTGAGATCGCGCGACCGCGCTACTCATGGGAACAAGAATAGAGAACACAAACAAAAATGAAAATATGAACAAAGTCCTCTCGGGAGTGGCTTTCCTAGGAAGCGAACAACCGAAGGAAAAAGCAGCGAGTGCGGGTCTACGTAAGACCAGCACTCGCTATAGCGGAGCTGCAAGGCGCCGCTACAAAAAGGAGAGGGAGAGAGCTGAGAAAGCCAACTCCAGTTTTGGCATGTGTTTCGGAGGCTTATTCGCATCTAACCATTGCGCAGAAGGTCTATGGTTGTCGTGAAGTATCCACTTTTCATTGCACGTTACTATTCTGTGCAATATACCATCATTATTCTGTCAAATTCAAATATTAACGATACTACATGATGTCTAGAATATTTTGGTACCAAATTCATGCGACAATTCCGTATCTCTAACTTTTAATTTGACGTTGCGGTACATAACGGTGCAGTTATGATTCTTTATAGATATTTGTTTAACAGTGGAATTTTTTCAATATGTTTTTACACATTCTAGAAGCAACAAAATCTGGTGTATTTGTTGTTTTGATATTAAAACTCTGTATATTTTTATTACAGGGAATTCAACTTGTCGTTACCTTGTACGTCCAACTTTCCTTTTTTTTCCCTTCTAAACCTGGCTAGAGCAACAAAATTCGCTGTGGAGCAACAAAGTAGAACTCAATTTTTGACCATGTCCTAACTTGATTTACGATGCTGGGAAGTCCAAATGAATAGGTGTGCCGTTCGATCGTGCATGCGAACCATTACCTCGTTAATTTTATTCCTCACGTGTGATTCCGCTTCGTGGCGGAACGTGCGAATTCTGTCATAAGCGTGGGCCAACGTCGTCGGATGTGATTCGAGGGACGATCCTCCTCGTTCAACACACTCTTGACGTGAATTATCGTTCGGATTAGAGTTAAGGATGTTTCCTAAGTCTTAAGCGAACCTTTCCGGTAAAAAGGAAAAAAAAGAAAAAAGAAACTTTTATCGTTTTTTGACTCTCCTCGATCCTTATACGCGTTTCCGAATCTCCGCTATACTTTTGCCTCGCTCCCTTTCGTACATCTCGCATAGAATCTCCACGTCTCTTTCGTTTTTTTTTTTTTTTTTTTTTTATGAGCTTTCGACTTCCGAATCTCGATTCTTTTTATTATTACATTGGCCCGACCTATAGGAGTCTCAGCCGCGCCCTTTTTACGAGAAGAGTATTTTGTGAGATTTTACAGTATTTCGAAGAGCGTTTTAATTATATAACTATGTATCGAGTATATGTACAGGGTGACCGTCCACGGATTCTCATCGTTTTAACATACGTTTCTTACGATCGAGATCTCTCACGGATATGGATTTCCCCTTTTTTCACCGATATATATATATATATATATAAATATATATATATATATTTACCATAAATCGAGTAATTTTTTTTAATTTCTCTGTACTTAGGCACGCGCTATCCATAGCAGCAATCGTCTGTATATGTATATCCTAGCCCATGCGCGCGCGTGAACGTAAGAAATGTGCCACGTTCAAGTTCTTCATTACTATGCACGCAAGTATAATTTCGCGATATGTTGCACGCGCACGGCGTTTCGGGACTTGTGTAAAAATAATCGTTTTCTTTTTATCCTGAAGTTCGCATCTCGCTTTCTGAGAAATCCTCGCGCGCCAATGATACGTGGTAACGTGTATAAAGTTTTAGGATGGGTTCAGACCTAGACAGAAAAGCAAAAAGAGCAGAAAAGCAGTAGTCAATCACTTACACAGTTGGAAAAAATATGTTAGATTTACCATAAATCGACATGTCCCAAACGGTCCACTCAAATTTTTGTGTTAATTTAACATGAGTATGTTATTTTGAATAGTAACACGAATACTGTGTTTATATTTCAACAAAAATGGAATGTAATCTTGAATAAAACTTGAAGAGAGTTATATGTACAATCAACATAATTATTATGACAAAATTAATATATAATATAACAAATGTTCTCGAAAAAGACGATTTGCCTAAAACTTTAACCAGCAGATTTTTTCACAAAAATATACAAATTTTCTAACTGTGTACGCTGGCAGAAAGCAGTACAGAAAACCGAAACTATTATAGTAGCGATGACTAGTGACTATCAGTTCGAATTGATTGGCTGTAGCTTTTCTACTTTTTGTTTTTCTGCCTGGGTCTGAACCTACCGTTATGCTCTTGATCCAATAATCTGTCATGATAGATCGTATTTATGATTATGCGGAACGAGGACGTGCGAAAAGATCTTGTTGCTTCTTATACATAGTACATCGCTACTATAATTGCATACCACTTTCCTTGTCACTACCTGAACACCTCGTGTGTAGCAAGTCATTTATCAACTTTTCCTCAATTGTCATTATACTTTAGTCGAAAATTAACGAAATGCTTACGCGCTAATGACGTATATACATAGATCAAGCAACGCAACTTTAAGGCAGTTATAATAGTTAACAGCTATTTTAATCACTTTCTTATTGAAATAGAGAAATCAAATATTTTTTCGCTACAATATTTAAAAATAAATAATCACAAATTTATAATATTAATTGTATATAATAATTTTATATATATAAAAAAATAGAAACTTTTTTCTCTATATAAGGTAATTCGGAGGAAGATACCACATGTTTTTTTCAAGTTTTTATTCTTGAATAACTTCTTAATATTATTGAATTAACCAACGAAAAAATATTATTTATATTCTAGATACTTTTCTTTATTCATACAAATTAACGAATTAAACATTTGATATTCCGTATTATATGACATATGGAAAAAATTGATATGTCATATACTCTACAAAAGAGAGAGTGACATCTTCCTCCTATAGTATATACGGATGAGATGCCATTTCTTATGGAAGATGTCACAAGCAGTTAAATAATGTAATGCAATATAAACTTGCATATTTATACTTATTTATAGTCCATAATCAAGAGTTTAAGCTATAAAAACA